GTGTGTGTGTGTGTGCGTGTGTGTGTGTGTGTGTGTGTGTGTGTGTGCGCGCGCGCGCGCGGCGCTCCTGGGTCTCTGTTTTGAGCGCATTTTCCTGTTGGCTTCCAGCTGCCCCACCAGTTCCGGGGAGGGACCTGTTGCAGTGGCTCCCCCCACACACTTTATAAAGGTCCAGAGACCACAAAACTACGCACAGCTGCCCATCCTGGAGACACGGGACCGCCCTGCCAACCTCTGCTTCCCCCGCCGGCAGCTCAGACCATGGGAGGTCGGCGCCTCCGCGTCTTCCACGTCCCACACGGTGAGAATTTGGGGACCTCTCTGGGAGGGGCCAGGGAGCCCCTGGCAGCACCCCTTCGGTTCCTCCATTTTCCCCGTCTTCCCCACCACCACCACCCGTGGAGAAATAGGCAGAGCTGGCAGTCCTGGCGCCTGACATGGAGGAAGCCACATGGTTAGGCAGATGCCACCGGCACATGGGGAGAGCAGCTGGCAGTGCCCGGCAACCCCACCCAGGGCAGGGACCCCCCGGGTGCTGTAAGAGCTTGTTCCCCCACCCCCAGAGGAATCTCCAAGCTCCTTTCTGGATCCACTTTGAAAGCTGCTCCCTAAGAGGGGAAAGTACAGCGAGGGGAGGAGAGGGGCAAAAAGTGAGTGCTGTGACCCCCTCAGGAAGTCACTCTTAACAGGTGGCATAGCCGGGCGTTAGGGAGCTGAAGACAGGGACCCTTCCACTATGGGGTGACTCCAATACATCTCCCATCGTCTCAGCGGCAGGGAAGCCCCAGAGACCCCACTCTTGCTCCCCCAGACCCAGCTGGGACTCAGCTGTGGGTTGGAACTTGAGTTCTGCTGTGACTTCCCCTGCCTCCCTTCCCGCCCCACCCCGGTGGCTCTAACGGTTATCAGGGCAGTTCGTTGCCTGGGCAACCAGGCAACAAAGAGAGTTAAGAAATGACATTTGGGGTGCCAATCAGAACTTCCCCAGGCCACAGGGATGGGGCTCCCTGTGCTGGCACAGGGTGACAGGCGTGAGCTGTTTTTTTATAGCTTTATCGAGGTGTAACTTACATAGCATATAATTCGTCTGTTGCATGCATACAATTAGATGATTTTTAGGAAATTTACCAAGTCTGTGTGGAGGACACCTGAAGGGGCTGATGTTCAGGGGGCCAAGTCACAGAGCCCCTGATCCTCACTTCCCACCTCTGTGAAATGGGGCAGGGCAAGACTGGTCACTTTACAGGGTTGAGTTAAGGGTTAAGTTCACAGTAAGAATTAAGTAAACAGTACTTATTATTATTTTAATGTTACTATTATTATTTCACTGGTGGCTCTGGGGGGGATGCACCGTGGGGTCCTAGCAGGAGGAGCAAGGAGAGAATGACTGCCCCACCCCTGCCACAGGGTCCCTAAGCAGGAATCTGACTGCTCAGGGCTCAGCTAGGGGAATGCAAACCAGATGGCACTGGGAGCAGACGGCCAGCAGCTCCTCTCCAGGCTCCTGTTTGGGTGACTTCCAAGGCCCCAGATGGAGAAGGTCTGGCCCAGCAGCTTCTGTAGTGAGGGAGGAAAGCCCAGTTCAACACAAAGAACCCCTCCCAGCAGGTTCTGGGGAACTTGACCCCTCACTTCCACCTTCCCCAGCCCCGTCTACACCAGATTCTCCATAAGCCTTTTCTGGGCTCTAAGCCTCAGTTTGTCCATCTACAGAATGGACATAAGCAGAGCCTCTGCCTCCTAGGGCAGTTGTGAGCATGAAAGTTGCTATTGGGGCTTTGGGAGCTGGGGATGAACTGACCCAGGTCCCACCCTGCCAGTGAAGGTCATTTTGTGGTCTGTCCTACAGAGAGGAACTGGGTTCCCACCGAGGGAGAACTAACTAAACCCTGTGGCCAGAAGAGGAAGACAGGAATTCCAACCTGTTTACCACATCTAGGAGGGCCTGGGGAGGGCGATCTTTGCCCTCTGCTGGCCTGAGGGGTATCGAGTTTGGACATTGGGGCTGAGTGCTCAGGGGACTTGCCAGTCTGCACCCCCACAGCTCCTCAAGCTGTGGTCACAATGACTGACCCAAAATTCCCCTGGGAGCCCCTCCATGGGGGACTGAGCCATGAGTTATCCCCTCATTTGGCCCAGGAAATGACTCATGCCTGCCACACCTCTCTGGCCCCCATCCCTCCATCTACTGTTCCCCTATCTGGTCTCCCTGGATTATCAGGGTCTGGGCTGCCTCCCCAGCATTTCTAGATCAGCAGGGACTGGATGGATCCCTCAAGCCCTCCCCACACCCCCACATGCTGCCCAGCCGCCCTCCACTCTCCCTTCCTTCCCCTTCTCTTTCTGTTTCTCTTTCTGTATCTCGCTCTCAGTCTCTTTATCTCTGTGTCCCTCTGTCGAATCTCTGGCATCTCTCTCTCTTTCTAGGAGTTCCCTATTTCTCTGTCCATCTCTCTCGAGAACCGTCTTCTTAACTCTGCTTCTCTGTTTGTCTCTCCATCTCTCTGTGTCTCGTCTCTCTCTCATCTCTTCATTTTCTCTCCACCTCTCTGTCACCTTTCTCCTCTCTATGTCTCTAGCGCCTTCTCTGTCCCTCTTTCTGTCTGTCTCCCTGTCTCTGTCTGCTCTTCATTTTCTCTCCATCTCTGTCTCCTTGTCTGTCTCTCTGGTGAACAGCAAGGAGGTCCTCATCTCTAGAACCCCTGATAACTTAAGGAGGACCCCCAGGACATGCCCTGGGAAGGGGTGCCCTGAGCGGCAGAAAGAGCAGGATTGGGGTGCCCATGCAGCACCACCCCTAACATGAGCCCACAGCATCATCCTGTGTGCAGGGAGCCAGGGTGAAATGTCACTACAGGGTCCCAAGCTGGTCGTTGTGGCTGACAGATATGGGTACAGTGTGCTTGCATCTGTATCCCTGAGGAAGGGAGTGGGGACCGGAGCACCTTAGATTTGGAGGATCTGGGATAACACCTGGTCCAACCCCCTTCATTTTTACATAAAGAAATGATGACAGTAAACACTTGGACACACCAGGCAGTACTTGTGTGCTTAACTCTCACACTACTCTAGGAAATGGGTCCCCTCTTCATCCCATTCTACAGAAGGGGAAACTGAGGGACTGAGGCACCTGACAAGGTCTGGGGTTAGAACGAAGGCCACCTGGCTCCAGTCTGTTTCCTGAACTGCTGCCCGCAGGTCAGCAGAACCCAAGACCCCTGCCAGGCTCAGACCCCTCCCCATCCTCAGTTCCTAAAAGCCACCTTCAGGCGATAGGAGCAGACCCTCTAGCCGTGGGCCCAGTGTCTCCTTCAGTAATGGACAGAGCCCGAGTCTAGGAGGGGTGAGCAGTCCCTGTCCTTCAGATGTGTCACCCTCAGGCCCCTGTTAACCCTCCCCTGTTCTGTGTTCCCCCTGACCCTCCATCTCTGTTCCAGCACTGTGTGTCTTGCTGATTCTGTTGGAACATGGACCCCAGAACACCAGGGGTGAGTCTGCTGGGAGTAACTCAGTCCATAGCCAGAGTCCCAACCCCCACCTGCGCCTCTCAGCCCAGGCAGGAGAAAGGCCTGTTGCAGAGGGGCGAGGGGGGAGGTGCTCAGGGTTGCCCCCTCCAGCCTCTGGCTCAGCCCTTATCATCTGACTATGGTCTCCATCCCCACAGCCTCTACCAATGGCTCATGGTGCCCTCCACACTCCGAATATGTAAATGACACTGCCTGTCGCTGCCTTAAGGGATTCACCTCTCCATCTGGGGAGATCTTCACCTTCACCGTGGACCCGGAGCCTTGTGATGGTACAGAGGTTGGGGTGGTGGAGGGGCACATGGAGACGTGATGGTGGTTGGGGTCCTCAGCCTTTGTTCTCAGACCATCATCAGGACAGAGAAAAGAGGAAGAAAAAGATATGAAGGTGAAAAATGAGAAGCTTCATAGAGAGAGGAGCTTGGTCTCCAGGAGTCTGGGATCTGTGCTTCAGTTTGCCCTTCCAGGACTGGGGAGGGGGATGTGGACCTTCCACCCACCCACCACTTCAGCACTTCCTCCTGTATCCAAATCCAGGGTGACAGGCAGAAAGCTGAGAAGAGCAGAGCTGACTGAGTGGGTTTCAGGAATGGCTTACTCCAGCCACAGCCCAGCCGCAGCAGTGTTGCCCGAGAGTCTAATTCTTTCCCAGAAGACACTGATTATGCATCAGGCTCCATGCTAGTAGGACACGAGGCTGTCTGCCCTGAGGGCACTCATGCCTTTGGGAGGTGACTCTTTACCCCGTTTTGTTCCAGACATCAACGAATGCAGATCATCCTCGAAAGTGTCCTGTGGAAAATTCGCAGACTGCAAGAACACAGAGGGGGGCTACTACTGTACATGCAGCCCAGGATATGAGCTTGTTTCTGGGGCAGCAAATTTCACTACTGAGAGTCAGAACACGTGTAAAGGTAAGAATGACCCCGCACCTTCTGTCTCCCCATCCATGAGGTTTNCTACTGAGAGTGAGAACACATGTAAAGGTAAGAATGACCCTGCATCTTCCATCTCCCCGTCCATGAGGTTTGGAGTCACCAGAGCCATTCCTGCAGCATAAAGGGCGCAGGGTCCTGGTTAGAGGTGCAGCACCCAGGTCTGAGTAGGGACAAGTGTGCCTGTGCCCATCCCACCAGCATAGAGAAGCAGGGTGGCGTGAGAGCCAAAGACACAAATCCTGGCTTTGTTACCAGACAGCTGTGTATACGATGCTGGCCAGGACATTTATTCAGAAATCAGTGGTAATGTGTGAGATGTGATAATATTATTGTGATTTTTGTGTTAAAAAAAAAAAAAAAGAGTGCCTGTCTTTTACAGATAAAAACAAAAGTAGCTTTTCCTTTTGTTAACTGTGACCTCGAACACGTTCTTCACGTCTCTGTGCCTGTTTACCCATCTATAAAAGGGAGTGACAATGGTACTTACCTCACAGAATTGCTAGGAAGATACATGAGATCATAGAGCACAACTTGGTGGTGGCTGTTGGGTTTTTAGATTACAATCATTCCGATCTAACACACCCACTCGAGGATGGACATCCCAGGGGACCGTGCCCCAGGGTGGCTGCTCAGAGAACAGCTGTCTCGGCCCATTTCCTCACCAGGGACCCAGGAGGAGCCAGGCCTCCAAGCATCACCAAGCTTTGCCCCCTTTCCAGGGGGAGCAGGCAGGAAGGGAAGGGGCTTTAGGCATCCACAGGGGCAGATAGGGCCAGCAGTGGTCAGGCAGAAGCCACAACTCACCCAGGGAGAGGGGGCTAGTGCAGAATACAGAGGGGAGGAGGCTGAGCTGAGGATCCTGGAGGACTCTGAGGAGGGTGTGAAGTCTGGCCCTGCTGCCGAGAGTAGAACCTGAAACCAGGGTCCCATCCCCTTCCCTCCTGCCCTGTGTGCAGGGGGAGGTGGCAGAGCCTCCTGGGGGAAGGGAAGGGGGCATCAGTGGGAGGCTCTATCCACCGCACTTCTGGCCCACAGGGGCCTCTGTGGGTGGGTGTTATGCCCCAAATATGTAGCCTGGCCAGAGGGCAGAGCGTTTATGTGAATTGGAAAAAGGTCCCTCGTCTCCAGGTGAACACAGTGGGTTTGGGGAATGGAGAGTGAGCTGGTTTTTAGCCCCTATTTGCCTCCTTGGCTGGACACCCTTGTGCAGTGAGCAACCTGCCCAGCTGCACATGGTGGTCGTGGATCCCACTCAGTGCGCCTGGACTATTGCGAGCGCTGTGCGCGGGTGGTGGCTATGGGTACTGAGATGTGCTGCTGTGTTAGATGCAGGCCAGGGCTGAGAGGTAGGGCTAGAGCTGCTGGGCAGAGATGTGGCTGGACAAGAGTGAGGTGGGAGAGGTGGGACCTCAAGGGAGAGGGCAGCCTGCTGGTTTGGGTCAGGACCTGCCACCTGAAGACGTAGCTTCGTGATGGGCTCAGGGAGCCGTCTGTGCACCTGCCCAGCTCAGCATTTCAGCCTTTGCCGCACCTGAAGACAGGTCTACTCGCGTCATGGTCCATGAGGTCTGCTTTGAGCAGGAGACCCAGGCCACATCCTCAGCTGCTTGCCCCACTTTCTCCAGGCATCAAAGGGCCAGCCCAGGCACCTACCTGGTCTCCCAACCCTCTCTGAGCCCCAAGGCTCAGAAACCTCTGCAGAGGCCATTTCCAGAAGTTTGGGATGTCTTCCCTGCTAACCTGGCATCTTATTGCATAAAACAAATGAGGGTGATGGCATTCAAGATACTTCAAGAGCTCATGGCACAGAGCATGTCTTCACCATCGCCAATGACTGCTGGGATGAGACCTGATGCCACCGGAACCAACACAGGGTTGGCCAAGTGAGGAGCCCTCTCAGACTCCCTGGACCATAATGGACCCTGGAACCCCATCAAGAAAATTGGGAGAAGGGAGATTCAGGCCCACCTCACCCAGCTGGCTCTGCCTCTGGCTGACACCCCCACCTGGAGAAGATGCCTCCTGGCACCCTGACCCCAATTCTCAGCCACTCAGCCTCCATCTATTTCCCCAAGCAAGCCTCCACCCTGACCCTCCCCAATAATTTCAGTTCATGGGACTGTGGGCAGTTTGAATGACCAGGACCCAGAAAGATTACATGTCAGGGGTAGGCAGGGTGATGTCAACCTCCCTCACCCTGCCCTGAGCTCTGAGAGCTGGGTGAACGAAGGGGCTCCCATCTGGACCAGATGACAAGAGAGGGCGTCATTGGGGATCATTGCTCCAGGCTTGGCCCTCTCCCGAAGAGGCGGGGGGCACTGGAGGACAAAAGATGGAGGCTGGGCCCCTCTTGTCAAGGCCCACAGGCCTGTGTACCAAGTGGGAGAACAAGGAGCCAGACGACAGAAACACCTGCCCCTTTACCCATCAGCACCTGCTTCCTGCTTCCTGCTCCCTGCTCCAGCACCAGGCCTTGACCACCAATGGCCTTGCTCACATGTGGATTCTCATCACTTCCTGCCAGCCCAGGGGCTACCTTCACAGGGATCAGAATAGGCACCTTCACTGCCCCAAGGCTGCATGCTGGATGTGAGCCCCACTGTCCATCATGGCCTGGCACCCACTGTCCAGGTAGCTCTGGCACATTTTCATAGTCTGGGCCCTTGCCTAAAAGCCTTGTCCTGGTGGGGTCAGACTCAGGGGTGGTTCTCGGTCCATCTCCATGGACTGGAGTCTCAGAATTCACGTGGATGGGAGAGCACTGTCTCAGCAGAGTCACCAGGATTCCAAGGAGAACACAGCCAACAGCACCCACCATGGGGGAGTCAGGACAAAGGCCACCAAAATAAGCCCTGCTCAGGGAATGCGGCATTTCTCCTGCACTTCGTTCCAGGAAGGCCCACCTGGCCATTGCCTAAGTCCTCAGGCTGGGACACAGGTAGCAGTGATGTCCCTGTCCTGGCTGGGAGCTGCCCAGGAGTCCAGGGAGTCAGAGCTGGCAGGGAGGACTTGGTCCACTTCTGGCCACATTTGGACAATGGAGCATCTAGGCCTCCATGCTTAACCATTGGATACCTCCATGTGAATCAGAAAAGGCACCACTCACCTGGGAGCAGGTAGTGGGGCCTTCCAGATGCCTCTATGCCAGGAAACGTGGCTGACTGCCAGTCCTGAAGGCTGCCCATGGCTGCAGGCATCCACCACCCTCCCTCCCTTTGCAGATGTGGATGAATGTCAGCAGAACCCCAGAATCTGTAAAAGTCACACCTGTGTCAACACCGAGGGCAGCTACACCTGCAAGTGCCTGCCAGGGTTTGAGCTCAAACCGGAGGACCCGAAGCAATGCAAAGGTAGAGGCCCCAGAAGATACTGTGAGGCTGGACTGGAGCTGAGGAAGGAGCCTAGGCAGGTCCCGCAGCCCCAGGAGACAGGAGACACACCAATGGCCTGCCAAGGGCCTCCCTATCGATTTACCTCCCTAAAAGGTCCTGCCACAGAGCAGGGAGGTGGCAGGGCCTTCTGGGCCTGGGTTTCCTTGCGGAGCCCTGTGAGTACCCCAGACCCTTCCCTTCCTCATCTGTCACATGCAGCAAAGGGAGGTGACTTCCGGTTCCCAGAAAGGGCGCCAGGGCCAGGGCCCAGAAGGGAGAAGGCAGGAGTCCTTGGTCAAGAAGTCCAGCCCCCATGACTCAGTTTCCCTCTTGGTTTTGCCACCTATAACCTGGAGATTATGGTCCCCACCATGTCCATCCTGCAGGGAGGCCACCATAAGGTGCTTTGAGGGTGAAGTTGAAGGTCACCAGGTAGTGGTATGTGTACTAACAGTGGGGTCCTTAGTGCCAGGCAATGAGAAGTGGGTGCAGGAAGTGGAGCAAGGGGCTCACACTCTGGCTTTGTCCTCAGACGTGAATGAATGTACCTCAGGGCAAAACCTCTGCCACAAATCCACCCACTGTCTCAACATCGTGAGCAGCTATAAGTGTCGCTGCCGCCCTGGCTGGAAGCCGATTCCTGAGTCCCCCAATGGCCCACACAACACCATCTGTGAAGGTTCGGAGTTCAGATCCCATAAACGTACCGCATCTTTACTTTGCTGAGCCATCTTAAAGGAAGCTGCCGTAACAAGCTTTGGCAGAGGAGGGGCGGCAGCACTTTCAGCAACAGTGTGTCCTCAGTGCAGGCAGGGAGGAGAAGAGGACTGGGCTGGGCAGGGCTGAGCTTCTGATTATGTTCTAGTAAGGGCAGGAATGCAGCTCTGGATGGCAGAAGTGCCACAACCCACAGCACCAACACAAGGGGAGCTATCAGTGTCACAGCCTCCCTGGTTAAAAGTCCATCACAGGTCCCCGCGCAATCCATCTACACCACACGTGGGGGACACAGCTTTGGGATGACACTTGCACACACACAGTCCTACCCTATCCACCTTGCAGAGACACTCTGAGCTTATGGTGCTTTTATAGTGGAAAATGTCATCACAAATTTGTATCCTGACAGGCTAGGTGGCTGGTAAATGGGACTTAATAGGGGTGTCCTCGGTGTGAACTAAGGAATTTGAGAGAAGGGGCAGGAAGGATGCCTGCAGGGAGTGGAGGGCCTCATGCTCTGGCTTTGTTCTCAGATGTGGATGAATGCACCTCAGAGCAAAACCCCTGCCACAAATCCACCAACTGCCTCAACACTGTCGGAAGCTATAAGTGCTCCTGTCTCCCTGGTTGGCAGCCGATTCCTGGTTCCTCCAGGGACCAAAACAACACTGTCTGTGAAGGTTCAGAGTTCAGATCCCACACTCTCAAAGACCCACAACCCAAACCATCTGATCACATACTCAGTGGCACCCGCAGGAACCCAACAGAATGAATCTGAGGGTGCCCGGCTGTGCCAGGCTTTAATTCTTTTGAATGGGAAAAGATCTGTGGATCCTGGGGAAGTAGCTGAGGTACCAAGGGGAAAGCTCCTGGGGGATCCCAAGCAGTATCTAATAACTAATTGGGACAAAGGTATTTAATATCTCACAACCTGTACATCTGTACGTGGCTCAACTGCTATGTGTCAGGCCTCTGCACACTTCCCATAATCGCTGTGTCTGCCACTCAGGGATGTGCAGTCACCAGGTGTCATCACCTCTAGCCCAGGGATGGGGGGCAGGGGGCACTAACACAGGGAAGGGGGTGAGACAGAGAGGAGAGGGGCCCTGGATTCCTGAATAAAGGACTGCTCAATATGAAGGTACCTGGCCTGACCCTAGACCCTGCCTCCAACACATTACACACACTCTCTCATACCTAATGGACAGCTGTTTTGTCCCCTGCAGAGATCTTCCCCACCTGGACTCTGCCCCCTGGAATCAAGAGCCAGGTGAGTGACTACAGCAGGGACTAGAAGGCAAGGTGCCTCCATTTTCTTCTATGATCCCCCACCCACATGTGAGGTTCTCTGACCCCTCATCTCTCTCCCCAGAGTCTCTCCCACTTCTTTGAAAAACTCCAGGATCTGGGCAGAGACTTGAAGCCCACCTCAGCCCAGGACACCGCCCGGGTAAGGACATGACCTGGGGGGACCCCAGGACAGTGTGGAGTGGCTGGGGAATGCTTCAGTGTGAGTGGAGATAGGTCAAGGAGGGATCTCCGATCAGAGAAACACATGTGGCTGTATGCACAATATACACACACCATATATAGGATGTCCCCAAAAAATGTACACACATTTTGAATAATTATAAAGGCAGTGTTTATTAAAGTACATTTCATTTTCAAAATTGAACTATCACCTGTTAAAGTATGTATACATTTTTTGGGACACCCTGTATATCCCCATCACACAAACACAGATAGATGTACATACACAGCCCAATTCCTGGGTCTCCCAGTGGCTGGAACAGGGCCCATGAATACACACTCACACTCAAGAGGGATATAATGGCAGCAGAATGGAGCAATTAAGAACCTTGCCTCTGGAGCCGAGCCACAAAGGTTCAAATCCCCCACACACTTAACTGCCGTGACCTCAGGCCAGTGACTCCCCCTCTGGGTCTGTCTCCTGCTTCATACAGTGGTTGTTAAGGTTTAAATGAACTAAGAAAAGGCTCAAAGAATAATGCCTGGCACACAGTAAGCATTAGATGTTTTAGTATATGCACTTAGCCCAGTAGAAATATATGAGCCCCTTATGTCATTTTAAAGTTTCCAGTAGCTTTATTATTTTTTAAATATGTCTTTATTGCCCGGCCAGGCGTGGCTCAGCAGTTGAGCGTCAACCTAGGATCCAGGCGATGGGGGTTCGATTCCCAGTCAGGGCACATGCCCAGGTTGCGGGCTCGATCAGTGATTCTCTCATCATTGGTGTTTATATCTCTGTCTCTCCCTCTCCTTTCCTCTCTTTAAAAACAATAAAGATATATTTAAAAATATATATATATGTCTTTATTGATTTCAGAGAGAAGGGAGAAACATCAATGCTTAGAGAGTCATTGATCGACTGCCTTTTGCATGCCCCTGACTGGGGATTGAGCCCACAACCCAGGCATGTGCCCCTACCAGGAACCGAACTTCAATCTCCTGGATCCTAGGTCGATGCCGAACTGCTGAGCCATGCCGGCCAGGCACAGTGGCTTTATTTTTACAAGTAAAAGTAGCCCTGGCCAGGTGGCTCCATTAGTTGTAGTGTCAGGTCATACACCAGAAGGTTGCAGGTTCGATCCCTGGTTGGGGCATATACAGGAGGAAGCAGATCGATTTTTCTCTCACATTAATGTTTCTCTCTCTCTCAAATCTATAAAAAATCCTTGGGTGAGGATTAAAAAAATAGTAATTAAAAAAGTAAAAGTAGTCCTAGCCAGTTTGGCTCAGTGGTTAGAGCGTCGGCCTGTGGGCTGAAGGGTCCCAGATTCGATTCCAGCCAAGGGCATGTACCTCAGTTGCAGATTCTATCCCTGGCCCCGTTCTGAATGCATACTGGAGGCAACCAATTGATGTCTCTCTCTCACATCAATGTTTCTCTCTCCTTCTCCCTTCCACTCTCTCTGAAAAACAATGGAAAAATATCCTCGGGTAAGGATTAAAAAAAAAGTAAACAAGTGAAATTAACATGAAGATTCCATTTAACCCAATAGATCCAAAATATTACCATTTCAATATGGTGTCACATGACTCGTGGAGACTGTTCTGGACAGTGCAGACTTGGAAGAGAACCTGGCAGAAAGTCAGTGACTGATAAATGCTAAGTGCCATGGTTATATGTGCACACAGGCGCATACTCGATTCCCATACTTGTCTTGTGTGTCTAGATGATTCCCGTGTCTGTCCCCCAGGCAACCTGGGTGGTTCTCCAGTGTGTTCCCTAGTGAGGGAGTGAGATCAGGGTCCTTTGGGCAGTCCCTGTGGTGCAGTGACCCAGCAACTACCACCCATCACCCCCAGGAACTCATCGAGTCATTGGATGACCTACTGGAAGGTCTTGGGGAACTGGAGGCCCTGGCCCTGCCTGACCGGCACCGCATGGCCACCTACCTGCTGTCATACCTCGAAGAAGTCCTGAGGAATCTGGCCAAGACCATACCTGAACCCTCTTTCACCTACTATTCCCGTTTGAACACAGGTGAGGCCTCTTCCTGCCCTGCCCCAGTGCCGGGCCCCATCTTGCTTCCAGAGCCCCCAGTCACTGCCTCTCTCCCCTCAGAGCTGTCCCTGATGACCCAGGATCAAGGGAAGGGAACCGTCACCATGGGCCAGACCCACGCACGAATGCTGCTGAACTGGACTCAGGCAGCTGTAGTCGGGGACTCAGGTAACAGCAGGGAGCCGGAGTGGGCACCCATGGGAGAGGGAAGAAAGGGCTGGGATGTGGCTAGGGATGAGGCTCCAAATATGTAACAATTGGAAACTGAGCCATTGTGAGGGACTCTAGGCATCACCATGGACTGGCCAAGCCTAATTTAGATGTCTTAGGTGGGAGAAAGGCCAGGAGAAGGCAGCCAGCATGTCTGTCCCTTAGGCCCCACTGTGGCAGGCATATTCTCCAGCAAGAACATGCAGAAATTGGTGGCCAATGCCTCCTTGGAGCTGGACTCTGAGAAGAAAACCCAGCTGGAAAGAATACATGAAAGTCCTGTCAAAGGTGCTCAGCTCAGGCTCCTCTCAGCTGTCAACACCGTCTTTCTGAGCAACAAGAACACGGAGAAACTAGACCCCCCTGTCACCTTCTACTTCTCCCACACTGTGAGTCTTTGGGTGGGGAGGATCAGCCCCACTGTTCACCTCATAGCCAAGGTCATGGAGGCCCCTCTGCAGTCTTCATTTCCCCACTCCCTTTCATTCTGCTACTTCCTTAAGCATACCACAGGGCCTTTGCACTTGCTGTGCTCTCTGCCTGGGACACCTTTCCCTCATGATTCAGTCCTTTACTTGTTTCTAATCTTTGTTCAAATGCCAGCTTCTCTTTTAGGCTCTCTCTGACCTCCTTATTTAAAATTACAATGTGTAATCAATAATGCCCTACCTTTCTCCTATCCGCTCTTAATTTTTTTAATAGCACTTATCACCTTCTAAAACACTATTTAGTTTACTTATCTTTTAGGTTTATTACTTACTGCCTGTCTCCCTAATGAGCATATCAGCCCCACAAGGGCAGGGATTTGTGTCTGCCCTGTTCACTGCTGTGCCCTGGCCTGGCACACACAGTAGGTGCTTAGTAAATCCTTGTCAATGAAAAGCAGCTTTCGTCAGATCCAGCCCAAGCTCAGAACCCAAGAGTGGACTCTAGGCTAACATCTCTGACCACTCCCACCTGTCCACAGCCACAGGAGCCCGGGACACGGCAGGAGCTAATCTGTGCCTTCTGGAAGGGTGACGACAGTGGTGGGTATTGGGCCACCACAGGCTGCCAGAGGCTAGGCAGTATGAATGGGAGCACCACCTGCCAATGCAGCCACCTGAGCAGTTTTGCCATCCTTATGGCCCACTATGATATACAGGTGAGCAGCTCCAGGGCCACCTCAAAAGCCCACAGATGGGAAGGTTGGCATAGGTGAGATAAGCAGCTGGTTCTTGATAGTGTGGCCCAACTGGTTTTGTATGGTTGCACAGCCCAGGTGGTTCCATATCATGCCCCCTCAGCCTCTTCCCTGGGACCCATAGACACACCCCCATGACCCAGCAACTAAACAGTGTGGCCTAACATTGGAGGCCCTGTTCCAGCTAGTGCCCCTCTGACAACCCACCTGGATCCAGTTGTTAAATGTCGCTAAAAGCTAGAGCACAACTTTCTGTGTGGTCTCAGGTGATCCATAAACAAGCTGGGCCATGTGCAAAACTGGAATGGGCCTGGCAGAGTAGAGGAGGTAGGTGGTCCAGGCCAGGGGCCCAGGAAGTACTAAAATGTAGGACTTGTGAGCTGATAGGGGCGGGAGATGAGGTCAGAGAAGGGGACCCATCAGTGTTGGAAAAGGATGTGACAGTCAAGGCTTCACTGGGGAACTTTTGGGATCCCTGCTGCACCCATGGGTGTGTATGGGGGGGGGGGTATTTAGGATGACAGAGACGCAGCAGGTTTGCTCAGATGTTGAAGGCAGAAGAGGTGGGGGGAGGTGATCAGCCTGATCTGAGTCCTGCAGGCCACGCAGGTCCCAGGTGGGTCTGGGCTGTGTGACCAAGGAGGGCAGAGGGCATCAGGGTGCTGATCAAGCCCCACTCATCCCATCCTGCATCTAGGACCTGAAGCTGGCCCTGATAACCAAAGTGGGACTGGCGCTGTCGCTGGTCTGCCTGCTGCTGTGTATCCTCACCTTCCTGCTAGTGCGGCCCATACAGGGCTCGCGCACCACCATGCACCTGCATCTCTGCATATGCCTCTTTCTGGGCTCTGCCGTATTTCTAGCGGGCATTGAGAACCAAGGAGGCGAGGTGAGGCCCCTCCCCGTGGAGTACTCAACTGACACCTGGGTGCTCCGCCATTGAGTACCAGGGTAGTAGTAGTCCCGCCCACTCCCAGGTTTAGGTGGGGGAGAACCCCCCTTAGACTTGGCCCAGTCCACACACCAGCTTGAGCAGGTCCTAGCCACGCCCCAACCCCGCCTACCCTCCAGCCCATGCCACCGCCCACCACAATGCTCTGGTAGGGAACTGGCAGCCTGTGTCCCCGCCCCGCGTTTATGTCGTCCCGCCCAACAGGTCGGGCTGCGCTGCCGCTTGGTGGCCGGGCTGCTGCATTACTGCTTCCTGGCTGCTTTCTGTTGGATGAGCCTCGAGGGCCTGGAGCTCTACTTCCTCGTGGTGCGAGTATTCCGGGGCCAGGGCCTGAGCAAACACTGGCTCTACCTGATCGGCTATGGCGTTCCCGGGCTCATTGTGGCCATCTCGGCAGCCACCCGGAGCAAGGGCTACGGCCGTACTATCTAGTGAGTGTGTAGTAGTGGGCCGATGGGAGGGCTGGGGGACAGGGCCAGGGGCAGGCCAGGGGCGTGGGGCTAACAACACACACAGTGCCCCACTCCCCTCGAGTCCCCCTCTGGCTCCTGATCAGAACCTTCTCATCCAGCTGCTGGCTGGACCCCGCCCACGGCTTCCTCTGGAGCTTCCTGGGACCTGTGACATTCATCATATTGGTAACTGCCCCCCACGCTCACCCCTTAAAGCTTGAGTCTCCTAGCTCATCACTGAGCCCAACAGACCAGCTCTCTCCGGGTTCCAAGGACAACCCCTAATCCAAACTCTCTGCTCCCCATCCAGTGCAATGCTGTCATCTTTGTGATAACTATCTGGAAGCTCACTCAGAAGTTCTCTGAGATCAACCCAGACATGAAGGAATTAAAGAAGGCCAGGTGAGGGCAGGAGCTGACAGGGAGAGGGGGGATGTGTGGGGTGGCCCCCTGCTGCAGCTGCCCTCCTCCCCCCAGGGTGCTGACCATCACAGCCATCGCACAGCTCTTGGTGCTGGGCTGCACATGGGTCTTCGGCCTGTTCCTCTTCAACCCAAGAAGCCAGGTCCTGGCCTATGCCTTCACCATCCTCAACTGCTTGCAGGGTGTCTTCCTCTTCCTGCTGCACTGCCTGCTCAACAAGAAGGTGGGCTTTGGGACAAGTTATGGGGAGGCTGGTACCCTCCCCCTTCCCCTACTTCTGGGGGCTGCCTCTCCCCCTTGACATAGCGTCTTGGGTCCTGCAGGTGAGAGAGGAGTACCAGAAGTGGGCCTGCATGGTCACTGGGAATAAGTACTCGGATTTCACCACATCCACATCCAGCTCCAGCAACAACCAGACTAGGGTAAGGGCCAAGCCTGATGTGGAGATGCCGGGGCCAGAAGGCAACCTTGGGCCAAACTCAGTCCTCACTGGCTCCTCTCTCTCCAGGTCCTCAGGCCATCAGAGTCTGGAATGTAACCACGAGGTTCTGGCCAGGCCAGCAGCTTTTGCACATGCTGAAGACTGTGCCCTCCTCTCCCACCACCCTGGCTCCCTCTGCCCTCCTGCCCCAAAAAAGGGGCATCAACAGTTCTCTGGCACAAGCCCAGGAGCACAGCCAGGGTGGAGTTGGAACTGATGGACCTGCCTGTGGCTGCCTCTGCCACACCCCAGCTGGGACCCAGGGTGGGCAGGAGCTGGCCCAAGGCTGCAGCCCCTTGCCCTGGTACACAACGCCCAGACAGACAGGGCTCCTGGTCTCCTACTTATCTGTCTTTGCTACAGAACAACAGGCCAGGGTACTGGGGCTCAACTTTCCTGTTAAGCTAAGATGGAGATCAAGGATGGGAGAAGGGCAGGGCCCCTGCTGGCCCTGCTGCTGTGGCTCACGGTACAGAAGCCAGTCTGCCTCCTGGGCAGAGGGTTCTCACTATTTTGAAGGTCATGGATGTTGTGTAAGGTTTTTGGGGTTTTTTGTATAAACTTTTCAATGTTGAGACTTAAAATTAAACTTCACACTGATATAGAAAGTGGCTTTGCTGACTGGCTGGGGGCTCAAGGACCAGGCCCATTGTGTCCGTGAAATACGAAGAGACCAGTAACAAATAGATGGGTGGGAGCCAGGCTTCCATAATAAAAATTTATTCTTACACAAATCTACAGCTTTTAAACAGTAAAAAGAAAGCCCCACTGTCACCTAGAAAGAGGCCTTGAAGCAGCACGTGGGAAGCAGGGTGCCTCTGGGATATCAGATGTGTGGTTACCGGCTCTGCTCAACTGTAAGACACACATGGGGAAGCCAGTGAGAGGAGGAGGAGAGGCCCCCAGGGCCCCAGTATACCCCTCCTACCCGAGTCACTTACTGTATGTGGAGATGTCAATTTCTTCAGGAAGCTCTGCCACATTTACTTCAAACCTGTCCTGAACATCATTGAGGATTTTGGCATCATTCTCATCAGACACAAAAGTGATAGCCAAGCCTTTGGTGCCAAAGCGACCCGCACGGGCCACCTGCAGGGAGACAGGAGCACAGGTCAGGTCAAAGACACAACCTCAAGATCTGAGGACAAGCCAGGCCACGTCTCCACCCCAAGAAGGGGTCATCAGGGAGGTGACACCTCTGTGGGGCCACTCACCCGGTGGAGGTAGGTGTCCGAGTCCTCAGGCATGTCATAATTGAAAACGATGTTGACTCGCTCAATGTCCATCCCTCGGCCAAACAGATTGGTGGCCACCAGGATCCGCCGCTGAAAGTCCTTGAACTGCTGATAGCGTGACAGGCTAGGTGCAAGAGGAACAAGAAGTGGCCATTAGGTACAGAGTTACTGGGTAGCACTCCCTCTGAGAGTCCTGCCTTAGGTCTTCATGGCGGCATGTACTCACCGCTCCTCTTGGGCCATGCCCCTGTGAATGGCAATGGCTGGAAAGTTCTGCTCCACAAGCAGCTGGGCTAGGGCCATGCAGCGCTGCACTGATTTCACGAAGATCACCACCTGCCAGAGGGAGGCAGCGAAGTCAGGGCCAGAGTCCCAATGCACTGTCCTTCCAAAGGCCCAGCACCCCTCTCAACAGGCAACAGCAATGTCACCTGATTAAACTCTAGGACATCCAGGAGATCGAAGAGTTTGCGGTTCTTTTCGCTGTCTTTGAGTTTGACATAGTACTGCTGCAGTCCATGCAGCGTGAGCTTGGTCTCGTCGTCCACAAACACCTCCATGGGCTGGGGGGGAGGGGAGCAGGAAGGGGCAGGCTGGGCTTACTTCTGGGCACCTCGCCTGCCCAGAACCTTCCAGGAGTGACTCCATGCTGCGATGCTTCCCAGAGAGGCTGCTGTACCCAGTAAACATTTCTCTCCCAACAGCTGGATCTAAGCTCTGGTCTGATTCAGGTGTGGACCAAGCTCAGCTCCCAATCTGACAAGACAGAGGATGGAGGGCTCTGCAAGCCTCCCAGCATTGTTGTGCTGTGAGGGCAGTGTGGGTGTCATGCAGCAGTGTCAGCTTGGGCCCCAGGACCCAGGAGGACCAAAGCTGCTACACTGAGGTCTTGGCCACTGCCCTACTCACGTCTTGCATGAACTTCCTGCAGACAGGCCGGATCTCTTTGCTCAGGGTGGCGCTGAACATCATGCACTGCTTCTCGTGGGGCGTCAGGCGGAAGATCTCCTGTACGTCCCGCCGCATGTCTGGGTGGGGAGGGCAAGAAAAAGGTGGGCATGAGCACCTGCCACATCTTGACCCGCCCCCAAGACCAGTCCCAGCCCCTCCCAAACTGGCACCAAGATGAGGGCGGTGTGAGCAAGGAGTGGAGGGAGGGGCAAGTCCCCAATGCCTGTGGGGCTGGACTTGGGGTAAGTGCAGGCCCAGGAGGAGCTGCAATCCACTTACACGCTGCCAGAGCGGAGCAGCCGTGCCAGGGCACCTCGAGCCACGCTTCGGGGAAGGGAGCCTGAGGCAGAGACAGCTGCTGGGGTGAGAGCTGCAGCTGCCTCCCAGGACACAAGCCCCATCTCTGACCGGCCCTATCAGGGCTCACTGAGGGCAGGCAGGGGAGTCTAGAACTAACCCGGCAGGAGAAGAGGCCATGGAAGCCTAGGGTTAATGTGTATATGTGCAGGACAGTGGCTCATTTGGGTCCTGTGGTCCTAACTCAGCTTGGGGTCAGAAGTAGCAGGTCTCATTCGGCCAAAACAAGAACTTGCCCTAAAAGCACTTACAGACCTGCCAGCCACCCACGTGACCCCACTTTGGGGAACCCCTCGGCCTGCCCTGTCAGGGCCCACCTGGCTCTGAAGTCTGGGGAGCTGTGAGAGGGGAAGGTGTGGCTGGCTGGGTCTCCAGTAGTGCTCACAGACCCGGCAAGGACACTCACCCAGCTGCTCCAGCATCTTGTCACACTCATCCAGCACGAAGTGCTTCACATTTCTCAGGTTGAGGCTCCTGTTCCGCACAAGTGCCAAGATGCGTCCTGGAGTCCCCACCACGACATGGGGACAGTTCTTCTTCAACACCTCTTCGTCCTTCTTGATGGAAAGGCCCCCGAAGAACACAGATACCTATACAGGTGGAGAAAAAGTCACTTTTGCCCACCTAAGGGCTGAAGCCATGCACCCCATTCCATGCTGACAGCCACCCAGCCTGTGGCGCTGCCAACTCAGGCTGCAGCAGGCCCCAACACCCCAAGCCTAGAGAGGCCTGAGAGCCTGGGCACAGCTCCACGGAAAAGCAGCCCAGGGATGGGACCTGTGAAGGCCTCTGGAGGCCATGCCTAATTCATCAGGCTTTTAAGGAGTATAAACCACAGCAAACCTCAAAGGCAGCTGCTGCAGCCAAGCTTGGTAAATGCTGGCTGGGCCAGAGCTGAGGCCAGCCAGGCTGCAGAGGACTATATGGCGCCAGGAACAGCTCAAGAGGGCTTACCTTGACACTGGGCATGTACTTGGAGAAGCGCTCATACTCCTTGCTGATCTGAAAGGCCAGCTCCCGAGTGTGGCACATGACCAGGACCGTTACCTGTAGGGTGGGCAGGAAAGACTCACTCAAGGCAGTATCCTAAATCTTCCCCAGCTAGAGCCCACACTACTGCTCTCTAGCCAGTGATAGGCCCAGTGCTGAGTCTCTGCTCTCCAACTACACTGGCCTTCTGAAACCATACCACCGCCTCTCACTAAACCTCCCTCCTTCACCATGTACCCTAAGGAAACAAAGGCTTGTGCACCCACATACAGCACAAGGATGTTGTCCCAACATGACAAAAACAGAACACTGGTATTCACTTCAATTATCCCCCGAGAGAGTGGAACACAATTTTCGTGACATAAGAAGACAGTTACGGCCTGTCAGCAACTATAGCAGTAACAAAGCTGTGTGCAGTATAACCCTCCTTCAAAAACAGGGACAATTTAGAAAGTACACAGTGAAATAACAACCATGTTTCTGGATGGCAAAACTGTGGACACTTTCCTATTGCTTCTCTTGGCTTATTATTTTGGAGAGGATTTTGTTAAAAGTAAGTACTGTACTTCATTTTAAAAACCCACAAAAAGAATGTGGAAACAGAAATTTGTAACAGGAGACGTTGTAGTCTAAGCTACCTCAGGTAGCTTAGGCCTGGGAGGGAGGACGCCCACCCACCTGTCCATTGACCGGCTCAATCTGCTGTAGAGTGGCCAGCACGAAGACCGCCGTCTTGCCCATTCCAGACTTGGCCTGGCACAGGACATCCATGCCCAAGATGGCTTGGGGTATACACTCGTGCTGAACTGGGGAAGAAAAAGCCCACGAGTGATTGGAAACCGGATTCTCCCTTTGTGTGGGCCGTCAGAGGAGTGTGACGGGGGAGGAACAGGGAGTCATACCCTCAGATGGATGCTCAAAGCCACAGTCCACTATGGCCCTGAGGAGCTCAGGCTTCAGCAGAAAGTCTCGGAAGCCAGAGCTGTGGATGGAAACGTAGGACCCCTTGACATCTTTCTTGGGGGGCGCTGGGGTGCTCTCTGCAGGAGCCTGGGGCTCTTCATCTTCCTCATAATCCAGAAGCTCGTTTTCCACATCCTGTTCTGCCATAATGCTGAGAACAAAGGAGGAAGGGCCCAGAGAAGCAACTGAGATGCAAGCAGGAAAACCCACCAGTAAAGGAGAAGGCTACACAGCAGCTGCTGGTGGTTGACACAGGTCCAAGAGGGGCAATGCACTGGGGTCACATCTTAGGGGCTAGCCCAGAAAGCCACCCAGCTGATGAAGCCAAGACAGGATATCATTTCCCCACACTGACTCCAGCAGCACATCTCATCAGCTCCATCTGTGCAGCACCACCCAGCTTCAGGCTGTTGTGGCCACATCTCTACCTCTCTCATCTAAACCACCTCAGCTCTCCCTGCACCCTGCTAGCTATACCCACATGTGTGCACACACCCTCCATAAAGGCTTCACTTGCTCTCAAGAGTGATATCCCAATTCCTCCCACAGCCTTCACAACCCACCTCGTTGGCCCCTGCCAACCTCATTCCATACCACCTCTTTCAAATCACCCCAGCCTTGCTTGGTTGCTCTCTCACTTAATCCCTACCCCAAGCTTTTACAGCCCACTGACATCAGAATGAGCTTTTCCCAGGCCTTTGCACAAATGCCTCCTTCACAGCATTCTGGTCTCAGTTCTAATGAAATGCCTAAGATGACTTAGCCTACAGGAACCCTGTCCCTATCAATCACCACCAATCCAAAGGGTATCCAACTGATGCTGCAAAGACCTGAGTTTGTGAGAGAGCAGTGACTGCCCAGCCCTGGCTCCTCCCGCTCTCTGTGGTCTGCACTGGGGAATAATTAAATGCTCTCATGAAAAGGCCTCCCATTGGGCCTGGGCCAATAAAAATGAAGCTGAGATGGTAAATGGAACACAAAGCTACCTCACCTCCTGGCTTTATTTAATCCAATACACACAAAGCACCTACTGGGTGCAAGATGTGCTACAGGGACCCAAACCTGACAATACTATCTTTTGTCACTCCTGCCTCACCCCAGCCTCCAATCTAGAGGGTAGAAGTGCTGAAGGAGCCCCTCTTCCTGAGCTGGGTGCAGAGGGTCCTGGGCCCAGTTTATGGCCCTCCTGTCACTCATTCTCTCCAAAACTTCATCTGGCCCGAGTATTCACCTTTGTGCTGAGGCCTCACAAACTTGTCTCTAACAGCGACAATTCCCCTCAACTCCAGACTGTTACCAGCCACCTCTTCCACATTTCCCTTTGTAAGTTGAGCTCAAAATGCCCAGAGCAAAACCCTCCATTTCTCCCCACAGGCTGCTTCCCCATCTCAGAAAAGGCAATTCCATTCTCTCAAGGGCTGTCTCTTCTCTCACCTTTCCAATCAGCCAACAAATCCCACCCAAACAATCAGGCCAGATCTCACTCCTGCTACCTTGGAGGTCCCAAGCTGCCATTACCTTTCTTTTTTAAAGTTAGAACAGCTTGCCCTAGCTGGTTTGGCTCAGTGGTTAGAGCGTCGGCCTGCCAACTGAAGGGTCCCAGGTATGATTCCAGCCAATGGCACGTATCTTGGCTGCAGGCTCGATCCCCAACCCCAGTAAGGGAGAGAGTGGGAAGCAACCAATCAATGTCTCTCTCACATCGATGTTTCTCTCTCCCCTTCCCCCCATTTCACTCTCTGAAAAGCAAAAGAAAAAATACCCTAGGGTGAGGATTAAAAAGTAATACTAATAATAAAGTTAGAACAACTTTATTGAGATATTCACATGCTAAAGTGTACAATTAAAGTGTACAATTCAACGGTTTTTAGTGTAATCATAGATATATACAATCATCACTACAGTCAGTTTTAGAACATTTCACCACCTCACACAAACTCTTTACCCTTTAACTATCATCATATTCCCCCATCCCCTTTGGCAACCACTAGTCTTTCTTTTATTTGAATAAGCCTATTTTGGACATTCCATATAATGGAACCGCATAATATGTGGTCCTTTGTATCTAGTTTCTTTCACAGCATGCTTTCAAGATTTATCCATGTTGTAGCATGTATCAGTACTTCATTTCTTTTCATGTGTGAATATTTCGTTGTATGGGAATACAATACCAGTTTATCCACAGTCGGATGAGAATCTGGGTACCATTATCTCTTGCCTGGATTATGTCAACAGCCCCCTCAATGGTGTCCCCGTTTTCCATCTCTCATGACCCTCCAACTACTCTCCCACAGGAGCCAGAAGGAGCCTACATAGAAGCTAAGTCAGAGAATGTCACTCCCACTCAAAACCCTCCACAGGCTCCCAATGGGCTCAGAATAAAACTCAAAGAGTTCTCACCATCCTACCAGGCCCTACACGACCTGATCCCATCTGTAGTCAGATCTCATCTCTCCCATTGCCCTCCCTCACTGGCCTTAAACGGAGGGCCTCAAACATACCTCAGCACCTTTGCACTTGTTGCTCCTCCTGCCCAGAATGGTCACAAATTCCACTTCCTTCAGGCATGTTGCTACAGAAAGGCATTTCCTGCTGGCCCCAATCTCAAAAGCACCCCTCAAGTCATGCCAGCCAAGAGCCTAGAACAGGACCTGGCATATACCAAGTAAGCACTCAACAGTAATGGCTGAGTAAATGGAAAATCAAAGCCTCAAGGAAGAGTTTAGAGGCTAAAGTGAGAATGAACTCTTATCTGATTCTTGAAAGAGGCCATCTGATACCACCCTGAGGATTCTGACTGGCAAAGACAGGAAGGGGTCATTTCCTAGGCAGCAGGGAGAACAGGACAAATGGTCAGTTCCAAAACCCTTTAGGGGAATGAAGAGTAGGACTGGCTGGTTGACACAGCGGCAGAAGACAAAGGTGGAAGAACTGGTCAGGTCCAGGGCATTTGTACTAGGGAATCTCTGATAAGGTTTTAGATTTGAGTGACTCAATCAGTATTTGCCTTTCATTTGCCCAAGAGCAAGTAACTAGCAGTAGGAATTGGGGATGAGACCAGCATCAGGGAAAACCAGTCACCAAGGAAAAGAGGATTAACCAAGATAGGGGCCTTATTTAGTAGGGAAGAGGGTGGACCACTCTACAAGGTGGGACCATGCCCTGGGGGATCTGTGGGCAGAAGACAGCCAGCATTTGCTACGCTGGCCTTCATGTAGCTGACCAAAAAGAGATGGTGTATTTAAAAGAAACGAAGAGGTCAAACAAACTCGTTTTGTTTTAAAAGGTAGACAGATTTGCGAACATACTGAGTTTGAGGCACAAAATTTTCTAGCCAGGGTAAAAAGCTCAAAACAAATTAGATCAGGAGAGGATATGGCAAGATTTGTCCGGCCCAGAGGGGGGAGAAAGAAACTGCTGAAGCCCCAGGAGCGGATGAAGTAGGAAGCTGGCACAAGTGACAATTCAGACACGCACGCGTACCCTTTCATCCTCAAATCCCAGGAAGGATATCCACTTCATTTTGTTCCCTACTTGAACATGGTTTTTGACATAATCTCTGGAACCACAAATCCTCCAAAAAGGCGGTGCAAGAACAGAGCCGAGTAGGGGAGGGGAAGTCCCTCGGGCTTGGAGAACCCCGTCACGTCTACAAACTCGTTTCTCGCGGCCTCAGACCCCTCCGAACCCCTCCCCAAACAGTCCCGAGACGCCTCGAGGTCTCATCGAACAGGTAGGTTCCTCCCCTAAGTAGGGCTCGCCGCGCCGGGCGCCATAACTGCATCTCCCGAAAACGGGCCCCGCGCCCCGCGCGCCAACTGCCGTCCGCCG